TTCTAGTTGATACTGATAAGACAACACCACTAACACCACCTAGAGGGGTAGCGGCTAGGGCTATAAACACCTAGCACAGCGGGAGCATCGACGGATAGAACAGGACTAATAAAAAACACTTAGGAATTAAGTAGACGGCGCTAAAAGCTATGGAATTTATGATGCTCTACTTAATCTTTAATGAATGACTCTATATTAGCACTATAAACTATTCTACACTCCCTTCTATCAGCCCATTTAGATTTAATATATAACTAGATAACTTTTTCTCTTTACTACCGCTTTATTAGCTTAGTACGGCTCATCACAGTATAGTCATCTTACCTTATTATATCTCTTCCTCTCTTATTTATAGAACGATCTCGTTCGATAATATATAGTATACTTAAGAATTATCTAACTCTATTATTATTTAAAGAGTAGATCCGTAGTACTATAAGAAGAAGCTCGTAACGGAAGTAGATTCTCCTCTTTTATTAGATCTAGAATACGAACTAAAATATTATTAGTAAGTGTAATAGATCTACTTAGTCTATATAAGAACACCGAAGACGCTCTTAATATTCCGCTTTAATAACTACTCTATCTTAGAGTTAAGTCTATTTCTATACTAATATTACTCGGTGATTCTAAGATTCGCTCTTAGAATTCTCTCTTAACTAATTAAGTAACGCGAGAAAAGAGAGAGTTTACTCTTCGTATTAAAATTCTATTCTAAGAGTTATTACTATTATATTTTAAATCTATTCTCTCTTCGCTATATAAATTAATATAAGTCTATAATATTTAGTTCGTATTCTCTTAGTTAATGAGATTAATAATACTTTTATCTAAAGTGGCTATCATAATAAACTTTAATAGCTATCACTCACTAGTTTTTACGCGAGACGATTATAATAATAGTATTTTTTTATTCTTAATAATAGCTTAATAAATATTTTAAATAAGTTAAACTTAATAAAAAGTATCGATTTTAACTTCTTTAATAGCTTTAATATCGTTTTCTATAAGAGCTTTAGTCTAAAAGATAATAAATATTCCGTAATTATAGTTATTTAGTTATTTATTAATATTAATATTCTAAAATATAAACTATCTATCGTCTTTAAGCTTTACTTAAACTTAAGAATTAAGATACTCTAAAATAATCGAAATTATTAAGTCTTTTACCGTGCGCTTTCTAATCGAATTCATAGCGTAAACGATTCGAGAATCGAGATCGACGTATATTAATCACTAATAATTAATCTCTCGATAAGAGATTAACTTCTTCTATGTAAACTTATCTTATCGCTACGATCGCGGCTAAATTATAAACGTAAATATTTCTCGAACGTTATATAGATAGATTATATTTCATTTATCTTTTACTTAGTACTTTCGGTAGGTCGCGATACCTTTAATAACGTAATTTATAGATAATTAATCGTTATAATTCGCATTAAGTAAAAGATATTTTAATTCTTTCTTATTGATTATATACTCTTCTAAGTAGTAATTCTCGCCGCGAAGACGTTTCTTTACTTCGCGACTATACTCTTTAAATTTCTTTAAAGCGTCTCGAATTCGCTAAATTTCTAACGTTTCTTTTTTAGTCTTTACTTTTTCTATAATTCGAATTACTTCGAGAGTAGCGTAATATTAAAGAGATTATCTCGAACTAATATTAGTCGATAATACTTCGATTAATCTTTAAAATACTTATATAATAACTTTAAATTCGTACTAAACTACTTTATTCGCTTATCGTTTCGTTAAAGTATCTTTATTTATATTATATTTAACTCTCTTAGATTAGTCTATAATAATCTTCTATATTAGTTTTTCTATATTAAAAGAATTTCTTAATAGATTTTATTTATATAGTCTCGTATTAAAGAGCGAAGATAACTCTTAAAACTCTTTACGAAGATATTTACTATTAATAATAGTTTCTTTAGCTTTCGTAAATACTTATTTAATGAACGAGAAGTATATTCGCTTAGAAGCTCTCACTTCTATCTCTAAAGATATTCTTAGAATTAACGATATTAATCGCGATCTCTTTCTAAACTAAATCACTATTTTAATATATTCGTTCCGAATTTC